CGTGTATTTTTTTTTTCCTTCCAAAGTAAAACATACGTGTTGATTCCTTTCTAGTAGAGATATTAATGTACGAAAACCAACATTATTGTACTGGACTCATTTATTCAGTAGAATATAAAGGAAAACCATGATAATGGATAGCACATATACCTTCAGATGGCAGCTACTTTATTTTGTTCACATGGTCAAGACAGTTGTCACATTCAATATTTTTATTCTGAAATAAGTTGCCCTGCCATGGTTCAGTTTTTGGGGTTCAACACTTGAGATGTGTCACAGCAGTAGAGTTTGAGAAAGTCACTCTCCAGTTACAATACAATATTCCTCCCACATCACTAGTGATGGGGATGCAGAGCAGAGTTGTTTCACAGAGCTGTCACAGCTCGGCTTTACCATCAACAGCTGTACACCGAGCTGCACATAACAGGATGCGGTGTAAAATTAGTCCTCAGGCTGGTGGCGCATGTTAATTTTTACACAACAAAGGTAGACATGCCCATGTGTGGTACAGCTACCAGAGTTAGTCCCATTATGTGATTGTACGGCAGGTGTCATGGAAGTACAATTATGTGTGTAAATGAACGTCGGCCTTTCTGTTTCATGAGAAGTTGAAAAAGTTTGGGTTTTTTAATTGAGAGTAAGACCAACTGGGATGATCCCAATTATAAAACCCTTCCCTCAAACTCTCTTCAAATCGTGCCAGACGTAGCCAGGAAAGCTGCTGACAATGCAGCGCCACCTGTGTGTATACGTACATTGGTGTGTTTGCGTACTTTTGCCCTTGCGGGCTACAGAGAGACTGAGTACAGCTGTTGGATGACTGACAGAGATTAGAGATGGTGAAATACTGTTTATTATTATTACTTTTTTTTTTCTTTTTCACAGTCGTGAGACTGTGCTGGCAGTTATTGGGAAACACTGGAATTGTAAGTGTGCAGTCATTAAAATACTCTGCTGAATCACTATGCGTACATCTGTTGTAATGACTACTGATAAAAGGACAAGTCAAAAGTATTGTTTTTTATTAACTCATTAGGTTTTGTGATTATAATTGAGGAGCTGATCAGTGTTTGATTTTCTTTTCCTTTTTTTAACTTGGACTAATACAATTTGAGAAAGTAAGTTTTTTTTTTTTTTTTTCTTTTTTTTTTTTTTTTTTTTTTTTTTTCTTTTTTTTTTTTTTTTTTTTTTTTTTTCTTTTTTTTTTTTTTTTTTTTTTTTTTTTTCTTTTTTTTTTTTTTTTTTTTTTTTTTTCTTTTTTTTTTTTTTTTTTTTTTTTTTTTTTTTCTTTTTTTTTTTTTTTTTTTTTTTTTTTCTTTTTTTTTTTTTTTTTTTTTTTTTTTCTTTTTTTTTTTTTTTTTTTTTTTTTTTCTTTTTTTTTTTTTTTTTTTTTTTTTTTTCTTTTTTTTTTTTTTTTTATTTATTTATTTATTTATTTATTTTCCCATTATTCAACAACGCCTGTTGCTGTTGATACGTTTTTGCAGGTGTGTGATCTTTGTTTAGCAGTAACTTGTAAAGACAGACTAAACATCTGCCCAGCACTAATTAAAGGTACATCATATGAAGGACGCCATGGACAAACAGGTGGGGATAACATATGCTTTGAAATTACCCAGCCGTAAAATTGCAAATGCAGTTTTTCATCTAGTTGGCTATGCAAACCCTGTAATGCTTCAGGTGATGCTGTGTCTGCCAACAAATCCTTCTGTACAGTATTTGTTTAAGACATGTAATTATGAATTCAATCTGAGAGGTTGGTCATTGTTAGGAGTTACTTTTTGTCAAATAGACCCATCGCACGACCACCTACATGAGTGTCCTTCATCACAATAAAGCAGAAAGTGATGCTGCAAGACAGCTGCTGTATTGGTTGTTTATGTTTCACAATAAGGAGTAAAAGGTCAAAATGTACATTTTCATACTTATTTTAGAACCCAGTGAATCATTTTCCAATTTATTAGTGGAAATCAAAATTGTGTTTTGGAGGGAGACACAAGGTCACACTTGGTCTGTTAATAATATTAACAATTTAGAACAGTACGCACTAAAATTGTAAAATTTCTGTTTATAGAAATACTGATAACTTTTCAAACCACGTTCATTGAAATAAGGTGTCAACGTTAAACTACTGTAGTGACAATTTTAGGCCCCAATGTCATTCTTTGTCTATTGGCCGTCAGCCTTTCAGACTATCTCACCATGCCCTCTGCTTTTCTCCAGTCTGTCTCCACGTCCTCCTTCACAACATGCACAAATCTCCTCTGAGGTCTTTCTCTTCACCTGTTTCCTGCTAACTCCATCTCCAATATCCTTTGTCTAATATTTTCACTACTGAAATTCAGCATCTGTCTGTACCTGTGATGGCTGGAGGCTGATTGATATATTCTGTATGTGTGTCTATCCATCCTTTAACTTCTGTTAAGGGTCATGAAAAAGAGCTGGAGTCCGTCTAGGGTGTGGTACAACAAAGGTTTTTCTGTTTTTTACTTTATTTTGAAATGCACAGATTTTTTAACGCTTGCCAGTGTGATGAGATAAGCAGTCATGCATCACAGCTGCAAACAAGTAAAAAGACAGTCTCTGTGGCACTGACGAGAATGGAGAGGCACAGCAAACAGTGCATGGAGAAATGTTTCTGTTAAGGACAGTTTTGTCTGTCTACTTTTTGCTGTAGCTGCTCTTTCAAAGCCTGGATGGTTCTTTGCAAAATTCCTACATCTGGCTGAAAATCATTTGACGTCACTTGATATTTTATAGAAAAGTAAAATATTTGGTAGTTTTGTAAGAATTTTTTTTAAAAAGTTACCTGTATTTGCATCTCATATGCCTTACATTTTGAAATAAAATAAAAGATTGTAAACAGTACAAATTATGGTTCATGCACTGAGGTAAACGTCAAATTATAGCAGTATAAACCGCTTACAAAATGACAAAACGAAGTTGTCTTAAATATTATGATAATAAGTTGATATTAAGTTGGATTGTTTATTTGACCAGTGATCATAACAGGGAATATATTTAAAGCTGATTGGTCTGAAGACAAGGTCACACCCCTAAATGATGAGTCACATCGACTTAAAGAATAAGTCGATAAATCAGCTAATCATGACTATCCCTAGTAATTAGCGCCGACCGAGGGCACTCTGAGGCAGACATCTTTGATCAACTTTGAATGTCCTCTTTGCAGGAAGCAGTATTCAGACAACATAGCCAAAACAATTTTCAAAATTTTGAAAAGAAAATACACTTTAATACAGTAAATGTGGTAAAATGAATACAAAACGATCTTTACAGAAAGATCTAGAACTTATACATGAGAGGAAACTGGCCTCAACCCTCAGCATCATCACGGCTCCATTTAATACTCACATTATATATCATCTATAGTGAAACATTGTTTATTTTTAAAGCAGTACAGGACACACTTTATCAAAACCCTCTCATATATTAGGGTTAGCTTGTCCTCAAAAAACCTCTTCCATAATGTTTGGCTCTTCTTGTTTGACAAAAACAGGATATCCTCTGACCCCTTTTTCCAGCATCCATCTTAACCAAAGCTTTGTCTGTGGGAGACATTTTAAGATGCTGAGTCCTGCCTTCCTGACCCACAAAAAACTTTCTGGTTTTTAATACTAACACAAGGGAGATAATAATGAGTGTGAGGGGAGAAGGAAAATGACTGCGGTGAAAATCTCCTTCATGTTTGAAGAGGTTTTTATCTTTTAACGTTGCACTTTTATAGGCATAAAAACTTCAAGTAGGAACAAAGCAATAAGACCTGATCGGAATGACTCTGCATGCTTTTCCTGCTGTGTATCTGCATGTTCCACATCGAACTTTCTGCAACAGTTTGCTTGTTCTGTCCTAGATGGCGCTCCATCCCTGGTTAACGCCCACCAGTCAACTTCTTTTGCAACCAGAGCCTCTTGTTGTACTGCACGGCTGTCGAAATACTCCTCTTACATCGTACAGAAAATCAACAACTCTTCACAGCTCTGTTCATTGTCTCCTGTCATCTGCCCTTTAGCTCTGCGTGTTTAGTAGAATAACGACACTCGAGAATACACATCTTAAAAGCTATCGCGTTTCCACCAAACCCAAAGAAAGATATGGCAATTTCCATCCTTTTTCAAATCTGTTGGTGCTTGTCATCCTCTCCCACATATTTTTTCCCTTAATCTCCTGCCTATTCTTCGCGTTGTCTGCTCTTGATCAACACGTCTTGCCTGTCTGCATCTGCGCTCTTCCTCTCTTGTCTTCCCGGGAGACATTACAGGTGTGTGACAATGTGGACTAGTAGATATAAGAACAACTTCTTTCCTGAAGCAATAACAAACTTAAATGAGACTGACAGTTCCAAATGATGCAGATGTTATACATTAACACTACTTACCATCTACTGAAGGAAGTGATGGAGTTTGTCGTGTCTTATATTATTATGGTATTCATGGCAGAAGAATGCTGTGAATGAATAGTTGCAAAAATGAGGCGTGAAAGGTATTTATGTGTGGATGCGGGTGAGAGGTGTTGTTTCTTTTAACGTTTACAATTAAACAACTTCCTACAGCAGCCTTCCAATGTTTTCATTGTAGTACAATGATAATACAGTATGTCTAAACTGTATATGTTTCTTTAGTGTTTCTAAAACAATGTAAATTAAAATATTTTAATAAATTTGATGTTGTTTACATGATGTGTTTTTCTATTATTATGAACATTTGCTGGGCCTTTGGATAAGAGTCTTTAAAATGTTTTTTTTTTCTTTTCTCCTCTCTCTACCCTGTGAAGTGAATGTAAAGTCCCCATCAAATATACATACTGTCACCAGGTTAAGTAGATTCATGTGTTTTATGCCATATGTATGATATTAATTACTAACATTATAGTGCTTTTGCAGTATGTTCTAGGCCACCTGCTGTGAAGCAGGTTGACAAAACATGTTCTGCTAATTGGACCATGGTCACTACACTCATATGTGCGTTTTCTGTATTCTACAGATTGGAAAAACAAGAGAGGACCTAGTCGGACTCCAAACATTAATGATTGAAAGTGGGACTCCTCTGACCCTACTAAATTGAAGATGATGTTGCTATGGAAACTGGTGGTGCTGCAGTCACTCATGGGGTGCCTTGCAGGTAAAGTGTCTTATTAAGAACTTTTGATGCATGCCAAAGCTGCTTTTGTGATGTTTCAAGTACTCATTCATATGTATTTGGGTCGGTTGACATATTGAAAGCTGGGGTTTCTTTAGTTCAAGTAGATTAGTCTTCAGCAAATATTTTGTCACCATGAATGTTAAAAATATAAATATAGAATCCATTGAAGCGGGGAGGTTTTGTTGGAATAAGTCATTGTCTGCTCCAGGCTGTGTTGCATTTCAGCGTCTCCTCAGGTTTGTACCCGCCTCTGAGAAGCTTTTTGATAGTCAGTGTTACCGAGGGGCCCTATACGTCATCGAGGATGTATTCAACTTCAAAAATTAGATTTGTTCAAAGGTGCAAAACTAGGTTGGCAGGAACACATTATCACATTGTATCAATTTCTATTCAGGTGCAAATCTATTAATTAAATACACACAGATATACTGTCTGTGTATTTACTGTATCAGATCAGGTCCATCTCTGAATAATAGAAAAGAGTCTGTCTGTCTTACCAAAACGTTCGTAAAAATAGATTTTAATTTGAGTGTAGCTTTTCTGCTTAGAAACAGTAATATCTGTTTAAATTTTACACCCATCAAATTAAATTATAATCTGCTGAAAAAATCGTAAAATAATAGATATTTGTCCAAAGCTTCTTATGATTTCATTTAACTCTCAGCAGTGCATTGGTACTACAAGGGAGACTCACACTGATCTGGTAATTTTTTCAGACTGATAAAAAAAAAATAATCATGAACCACAAAAATAAAAATACTAATATCTCAATCTGTTCCAAAGATGGTAAAAGAGCAGGATTATTAGAGTGGAATTAGGTTAAAAATCAATATCTCTCTCACTAACTGTTTGAACAGGCTTCGAGTCCATAGGAAATTCTCTGTGGGTCCTTTTCAAAGGTCTGTCATTTATTTACTGTGCAGTAAAGTCGAATTATAGCTTCATCATCCTGCTGCCCACTGCAGCCAGAGGCTCGCTGGCATTGATTGCATTTTGATGTAAGACTTTAATTTGTCTTCTTAACAAATAATAGGAGTCACAAGAGAGCATCGGCCGAATCACTCAGACTATTTAATCAACAAGTATCAAAGGAAGACTTCACTATGTTGTGTGAAGATGTAAGCACAAAGCAGCAGTCATTTCTTCACACTGCTGTCCATACACTGTACACTGTATTGTAGCTTAGGTCTGGGGAGTTATGACTTTATTTTTTTATATGCACTTGATATTAACAACATTGTCACCAGTAATAATCTGGGTAAATCTGCATCATTTATCAAAGAGGCTTTATTGCCCTAAATCTGTTAGTATTCATCATTAAATGTGTCACTTTAACTCCTTTATATGTTCATTTTAACAGTTACTCCTGTATACTGTGTATACTGTGTATTTTGTTATACACACAGCCATGAATACAAAAACTGACTGAGCAAGAGAAGGTACAATGTTAGGCACGAGCTCAGAGAACTGCTCCATGCTCTTTCTTTGAATCGATGCCGAGTGGAGCATCTGATCAGGTCATGTCTTTTTAGGTGCATTTACCTGGAACAATTCAATATAGTGATTGGGGAAAAAAAGTATAAGAGTTCAGTCATCGTAAAGGGGCGAAGGTGTCAGATTCTATCACTCCCATATGTATATGTATAACATAGCGGCAGCAACATGTGAGCTCCATTTTCTTTTTTTAACTCATTAACGTCTCTTTACTTTCAATAGAAACATCAACTTTATTATATTTTGGGATGGTTTAGCAACCAAGAGGCATTTTAATACTGCTGAAGATCATTCTCTTACAAACAAATACTTAAATACCCTGTCATTCTAATGATTGTCTTATTTTGTAAAGAACTCTTGAGAAGTCAAGTATAAAAAAACTGATTCATCAAAGAGAGCTAATAATAAATAAAAGGAATAAAGCACATCTAATCATCAACAAGGAGTTTTAGAGAAATGGCCTCTGGTCATTTGTCTCATAGAAAACCAGGGCCCCTGGCTGTGTTTATCAGATGAGACACTTCAGGACACAGCGCTTTAATTGCACAAAAAACTGCAGATTTTTTTCTGAAGAAACAGTGATGACTTTATCTTAACAATTTTGTCTGTTAGGCTAAATCTAGAAGTTATGGAACCTTATTAGTCCTTATTGTGAAGGGGCCATAAATGAAAGGAATTTTACATGTTGTTACAGTGAAATGTATGCACATTTATGCATATTTTAGTTTCATCTTTATACATCCTTGCATGCCAATGTTGCATGAAATGTGCAAAAGGTGAATCATACACAGTAGAATAGACCTGAAAGCAAATATATACTCAACTGATTCAGATTTCAGTTGCAGGACATCAATGTAACAGTAAGTTACTGGACATAAACGACAGATGACGTTCTTTTTCTGATCGGCTTTACTCTGCTTGAATCTACCTTTCTGACTCCCCAACCCTCAGTCTACCTTTAAACCATTGGCGCCTTAAAGTTAACAAATGTATAAATTGACAACATACTTTCAGATATTTTTTTACTTAAGCTTCTAAAAATTGGGGGGTGGGGGGATGTGATATTTAAACTAATAAGAGAGCTTTTGCACAAATGTAACTACCGTCTGAACCAATTAGGGATACACCAATTACAATTCTTTGGTATATATGATTGCTTATACTGATTTTAATTATTATAGTTATTTAATAAAGTAATTATGACATATTTCATAATTGATTCCATAATGTAGCAGTTGTCATGTCTGTCTCACACCCAGAAGTTCTGGGTTCGAGCACCAGTTACCAATGATGGGGGCTCGGTGTGTTGACAGCTGTCTGACATCAAGCCTGTAGTCGTGCTGCTCCTCTGGAACTAATTTTTAGACGACTTGTAACAATACTTTAAAATGTAAATGAAAAAAATAGTAAAGGGTTTCATGAACGTAAGTGTGTTATAAGTAAGCCAACAGGAAGTCATTTTAATTTGTCGGTGTGGGTTGTGCTCCATGGGGAATTTTCTCAACTTGTCCAAGGTTTTTTTCATCCTTAATGAATGATTCTTTTTCATTCATACCAACTACATACTGCTTTACCCCAAATGCCTCAAGAATCCCCATTCCAATTCCCATTTTTTCTCCTGAGTATTCCACCTTAAGTATAGCACTGTGCATTTTTCCTTCTCCCTTTTTTTTGCACTCTTTTCCACTGAGCTTTTTTGTCATAACTGGTTGTTTTTTTTTTTTTCTCTATTTGAAAGTTGATGCAGAGCAGGTAAAAGGGCTTGTCTTTCTGACAGCCTCAGCATTTTGTATACACACAAACACATACAAGCGTATATTCACTTTGTCAATGTGAGCGAGCCTGGATCCTGGGCGTATTGTCTCAAGTGTTATAAAATGCAACCAGGCACGATGCCCTATGCATGAAAAATGAAAACTCTTTTCTTTGCAACAAAAGGGTTCTGAGAAAGGAAGCACAACAGAAAAGTGTTTTTGTAGCTCAGAAGTAGAAGCTGGATTTAACATTGTGTTCAGGTTAAATATTTTGAATATATATTGAATTTTGGATGAGATGACCTGGATGACTAGTAACCTATATAGGTACTTTATACTGTATGCATTTGTGTTATAGTTTAGAACGGAGTTGTAGCAGGAGGGGGCCCCGGCCTTTTACTGGAGGGTCTTGATACCACACTGCCCCCTACCCCTACCCCTAAAGTGTTCTCTCAGAACAGAGAATTCCCTGGATGTAATATTCTAGTCTATAGTCTTTTTCAATCTCCGTTCCCTTATCTATGGACTGAAATTGAGTTCTGTTTAATCTTCAGTTAGTTTGGGGTAAAAAATATTTTTATAGGGAACCAGGTTAGAAATAGTCACAAAGCCTCAGTATTTTACCAGGTTTTTCTTCAAGTTAAAAAGGTTACCAGGTTAAAAAAAAGATTATTCTGATTTTCATATTGTTTAATCTTAGGAATCAAACTGTGATGTACTAATACAGCCTAATCCTTCACAAATATGCTGATAAAACGTTTCGCAGTTGTTTGAACCACCTGTTAACTGCATCTCAACTGATAATGGTCCTTAATGGATGGTGAAGGAGAGCACTTTTCCATATTTATAAATAATAATCAGGCCCTTATAAGGCTTGTGCCATCACAAATCCTATTTTTAAAAGGGTTGGTTATCGTCTTAAACTACAGCTTTGCAAAGTGCAATCATGGTAAGAGAACAGAAAAGAGAACAAAAAGTTCTTAGGGGCAACATTCAGCTGAGTGGCTCCATTAGCACATTATCTGAAAATGTGTTTTGGTAAAATTATTGTGCTAAAAAGAACTCCACCAAAGGCTTTATTTTTAAATCAAGGACTTAGTTCTCTAATGAAGTGACCCAGTGGTAATTTTAAATCACTTTTTTAAAAGTCTTATAGCCAGTGACTATGCGGCATTCAAAGGAGTGGGAAATATTGAAAAGACAATATCATAGTTAAATATGAAATCGTTGGACATTGTGGTGTGAGGCAGATGTATGCCCTAACTGATCCTATGACACAACGGGATTTTCGCTGCAAGTAGTAACTCACTTTACATACTGTAAATAAGTACCTACAGTATGTCACTCTTAGGCTTACATAGTGAGACATCATAATCTAGGAGATAAAAACATCAGAGAAATCTGACTTTTATGTTCCCAAAAAAACACAAATGAAAAAAAGCAAATATATCACAATCCAGTGAATCACCGTACGTAAACAAAGGTGTCTTCCACGTATAGCGGCGTGTAACAACTTAAACATCTGCTCCACTTGCCAACTAGCAAATTCTGCCTAAACTACAAAGGTGGTGATAAAAAAACGTGATACTGGTAGTTTCCTGGTGAGTTCGGAGTTCAGTAGTAGGTTGAGCCAAGAGTTTTTGAAGTTATTTTGAAGTGAAAGTAATCTTAAAACATACCTCTTGTCTCTCATGCCTTAAATCCGACCATCTCCATTCAAGTATTTGCACA